TCCATAACTCTTCTTTTCATCTCATTTGGCATTTGCATGTGTCTAGAGAGCCGATAGTGAACCCTGAGAAAGTTCAGACGTTTCACTGGTCTCAGCTCCGGCCTGTTTGTCCTCTGCCCTGCAAAACTATTCATATCCCGTCTCACAATGTCAAAACCCTCATGATAAGAGCCGCATTATTAACAATGATTTTGTGTGAGCTACCACTACTGAGAGGAAGAGAGCTGGTCCTCACCCCTTTAATTACAATAATGAATTATAATTACCGTTGTGACTATTACCCCTGTCTAAACAGTGGCGGGAGCAAAACATCCTCCACTCTGTAATTTATAGCCTTCTGCTGTAAGCATTTATCATTGTGCCTTAGCTCTCAAACATACAGCATCTGCATCGGGCCCATAAAACACACAGCATGGCACCAGTAGGAGACACAGACCCTAAACAATGTTGAATCAACTGAAGTAAAATCAACTTTGAGTAAAATGGTATAGTTACAAGTGAAGTGTATTATTAAAACTATGTGTGCATCCTAAACATACATATCCCCTAATGTAGAGCCTGATGGGTAGTGAGAGTTTACTCCGAGCAGAAACAGACGGGTAACAACGGAGTGAATCAATGCAACACCTGAAAACCATTAGCTATCTAATGGTAAAACAGACAAAAGGGGAAAAACAACAATAACCGAGGGCATACTATAAATAAGAAATGAAAGAAGACAAATTTTCTGAGAGCCAAAGAGAGAAAATCAGAGTGATTCCACTGATACGAGCAGCTGCTGGTGTCTAAAGTCTCCAGGGTAAGAAAGAGACAGAAAGAGAGAGTTAGAGCAAAAAGGACCCAGACAAAAGAGTAAATCACAATAAATATTTATAATGATAAGTAATGCTGCGGACCATAAATATTAAACAGCAACTGCCTCTGTGTGTGTGTGTACTTGTATGTTAAGCAGTGTCTACAGGGATGCAGGAGCGGGCACTGAGTAATGCATTGACTAACATTGTACATAAGCTTTGATCAGATGAGCTATGAATATTAACCCAAACAAAGCATTTCAATTGCATTATCAGACTGCTTGTTGGGCACTTTCTAAAAACAACTGGGAACCAACACGTATAATTTCAATTAGCATAGGTATAAAGTATTATATAAACATCATCCTGACCCCTCCGTCTTTACATCCAAACCTCTACATTATTCATTCACTGCACGGTTAAACTGTACCAAGATCTAGGAAATGAGCCTCTATATTGTGGCACTGAGGGTCAAACACAATAATACTTTACCAAACATGACATTTCACAAAACCAAAACATTCCAAAAAAACATGACAACATTTCACAAAACAAAACATTTTCTTTTATGAAATATGTTGTGTTTTGTGAACTGCTATATTTTTTATATAGCAGTATTCCCCCCTGTTTCCTCTCTGCATTGTGCAAAACTCTCTTTTTAGTATGGCAAACATATTTGCCATGAGGATATTGTCTCATCACTGCCATCAGTAACAGCATCAGTAATGATCTCAATATCTGTGCTGCTTAAAAATCATGAAGAACATAAAGACCATCAACACTAATTCAATTCACAATTTTGGGAAATATTTTGAATCCCTTTCTTTCTGAAGGGGCTGACTAAAGACTGGAAGCAGGGTTTAACAGACAGCTAAGCTCTGTCCAGAAATATAGTAGCAGCGCACAAAAAGTTCTCTTAACACAAAGGAAAAGCCACAAGCTGTAGTTTTACAGGGAATTTCATAAGCATTAGCTTTAGGTGCAGGGAGGCATTCTTAACTTATTCCGCTTTAGTTTCATGGTTAATGCTCCAACATGAGAGTGACAACTGATATTAATCTTCCAATGTAACTCGGACAAAAAAGCGAATGAGAATATTTTCAAAAATGTTCAATATTCCTTGCGTGTGTGTGTGTTTATTGAGGAGGGCAGGTCAGTCTACAGTGAGAGATACAGTAAGAATAAAAGAGTGTCCTCCCTTTCCGTACTACAGCGTAATCTGACCACCTCACCTCTGACAGAGAGCCCAGAGAGGCTTGTCTCCTTGTAGTGTACTGCCCTGACTTGTTCACTGACAGTTTGAATTTGTGGAACATTGAGACAGGAACATAGTGTCAGTGGAATGAAAAGGTGCTTGTCATGTGAGCATATTCAAAAGACTTAAAAAGCACAGGTACTGGAAGCTGTAATATAAAGTAGAGACTAAAGTGAGCTTGAGTTAAGTAGAAATGTAAGCCCTATAATAACAGAACCAGTAATTAGGGGCTTCATTGACTTTATCACAATTAACTCTTCAGCTCAATATGGTCTTCTGCTCTTGGCAAGTGACAGAATTTGTCCTTAACGGCGGGGTGATGCACACGTTAAGTTTCCTTTTTACCTGGTGCTGACTCCCAGGAGAGGGTTCTAAAGTGCTTGCTGAATGTGATCAAGATCAGTTTTACATTTACGCACTCTATACTTTGCGATGTAGCCAGAACAGAGGGTTTCATATAAAGAAATATGACTGATCACTGACAACGACCCCTTCATCATTTCTTTCCTGCGCTCTCCTTTCTGCATGAACAATTTGAAGCAGCAGTTAACTTCTTTCTATGCTTCACTTCAGACTTCACTAACTTATTATTTTTTAAACAATGCACAGATGCAATACCTAGTCTAAAATAAATTGCTCATTATCCACACAAACACAAGTGAAGCGGCCGCAGCTTGTTTGATCAGACTGCAGCAGATAAATAAACAATCTCCTATCCTATTGTCATTGGATTACAAACCTTGTAACTTACTGTCTAAATTACTAATGAACTAAATTATGACAGACCCACATAGGTAAACAGGTCTGTGCAAACACATTACTGAAAACACACACACCGGCCACATATATATAATAATGTTATGGGATAACAAATGGATCAAAGCCAACAATGACTTTGTCTGGTTTAAGCCTTGTGTTGACCTTGCCTGAGTGAGTGTGTATGTGTGTCTGTGCGTGAGTGTGCATGTATTCATTTCAATTTCTCAGCCCGAGAGCCAAACACACTTATTGGGAGAAACGTCTGTTTAATCTGTATCTATGGTATCTCATAGGGCTTGTGTGTATGTGTGTGTGTGTGTGTGTGTGTGTGTGTGTATGTGTGTGTGTGTGTGTGTGTGTGTCAAGGTATTACTTATGTTGTGGGGACCTAAATCTGCTTACACAGTCACATTATGCGACACTGTCTCCCTTTTGGGGAAAAAACTAGTCCCTACAATGTAAATGATTACATTTTAAGGTGAAGACATGTTTTAAGGTTAGGTTAGAGTTTTAGGTTTAGGTAAGATAAGGTTATGGCAGGTAGAGCAAGTCTCCAAGAAATCAATGTAAGTCACTGTAATATCCTCTGAAGCCAGAGAGATACCACTGTGTCTGTGTCTTTGTATGAGTGTGTGTTTATTTCAAATCCTCAGCCCCAGAGTCAAACTGAGAGCTGAGGGTGGGAAATATCTGTTTAATCTGTATTTGTATTTTGTCACCAGTGGCATCACATAGGGCTTGTGTGTGTGTGTGTGTGTGTGTGTGTGCACGTGTGTGTGTGTGTGTGTGTGCACGTGTGTACATGTCTGGGCAGGTCAGAATACCTAAATGCTCATCGAACATTGTATAATCTACGAGTGCTGACATCCATACCAGTGCAGTCGTCACTGTGTGCAGTCGCTTTTCATTCTATTTAAAGCCAATTCTCTTGCTTCATTCAGCAATCAGGATTCCACGGCAGGCTGCACGCTCCTGCACGAGGCCAACATCAGCCAGGTCTTATCGGGTATTAGACTGCCCTGCAATCTCCATTTCATGAGCACCCAGTCTATAAACACTATTGATTTTCACACTGTGCTTTTGCACTTGTATCTAGTGGATTTTAGGTGTTCTGTCACAGGAATGACAAGTAATGAATAATAATTCAGAGTTATAGAAAAATGTTCTGAGAATTTTTCTGGTCTAGTTAAAGTAGTGATTGCTGCTCAGGATGGCGACGGAGGGCGACTGAATGGTGAGACTGCGAGAAACTAAACAAAGGCTGCTCAGGATGAATCTACGTTATTCTTTTGAAAAAAATCTAAACCTTCATTTTGGTTTGCTTTAATGGAGTCGGTCCTGTCATTATAATTCACTAATGTGATATTAATCCATCATGAAAGGCAAGACATTTTAAGATTCTCTAAGAATAAAATGATCCAGTTGGAACTAATAGTTCTATAATTTTATAATTTAACTAGCAAATAAGTTGAAGTGTATGAAACCTCATATGTGAACTATGAGCTGTAGAGTAATCACCAACTGTGACACTAATACAATAGGTGAATGAGTTTTTCTTCTGTGTTTATTTGTGCTTTTGAGGCAGCTTAGCTCGAGTCACCATAAATCACTCATATGGTGAAGTCTCAAGAGAGTGCCGGGTCACATGGGGCACACAAACACACCAGGATTTCATTCCCAACTAAAAATATCGCACTGTGTTTGTCTGCATCTGCCAGCCAGTACAGTTTCTGTCTAACATGACTTTTTTTCCCAGATTCATAACTGTGACCTTTAGCTTTGACCTCTGAAATCTAATCAGTTCATCTTCGAGTCCAAGTGACAACTGATCAAAAGAAATTCCCTCAAGCTGATCGTAACATAAATGTCGAGAAAAACATGACCATACTTTGTGAGGCCACCGTGATCTTTGACCACCAAAATCAAGTCAGTTCATTCTTGAGTCCAAGTCAATTTTTGTACCAAATTTGAAGAAATTTGGTACAGACAACCGAAAAACTATGTGTCACCGATGTGTAGGCATAATAAAAACAAGTCCCATAAAAGTAAGTAGTGCAAGCCAGGCATTATTGTAATCTCTTTAGGTTCCATTTAAATTTTTCTCCACAAATAAATCATAAGAAACATCCCTGTGAGTAATTTATCACACTCTCCTGTGGAAACACTGCACAGTGGTTTTCTATGTTACTCACCAGGAGTCGTAACAGTGAGGTACCAGGAGCCGTGTTTTCAGGAAGGCTGATGTTGTACAGTGGTCTGCTGAAGATGGGTCGGTTATCATTCTCATTGATTAGCTCAATGAAGATGCGGGCAAATCCCACATGGTCGGACATGGACTCATTGGCATAGAGCTGAGGAGAGAAAACAATAGAACTAGAATGACCCTCAGTGGAGCACATACCCCCACCAAGGCCCAACAGTCCCCGAAATTTATAGTCACTAAAACAAGTTTATTGGATCTGCACCAAATTGCACACACTCTTACATATCAGTCCCATATACATGCCTGATTTAAAAATAAATCATGATCCATTAATTAAAAAACAACGACATAAACAATGTTAATGACAGTGAAACATATAATCCAGGATCTGCCCTTTAATCCACATTACAAAATGTAATAGCTTTTTCCTTGACACATGCTGCAGTTAGTTTATGTCCAATGCTTCTAACTAACAGACAAACAAACAAACAAACAAGCAACAAGGGTGAAAACATAACCTCATGGTGGAGGTAACTAAGATTAACTAATAGTTTAATTACTACTCAGTCCAAGAGAAGACAACATATGTAAAATACTGGTTTATGTTTAAGAAGGAAAAACATTAATAGGTGGCATCCTGAAATCTGGAACAATTTGTTATTGTGCCATAGAAGTTTCTGTCAAAAAGAGCTGAGTTGGAGATCTTGGATTATATACAAATCATGGCACAAACCACTCAGAGGTAAATTGAGGTGACAAAATACCAATTTCACTGTTCAAACAAATGTGCAGTGTTGAGAAAGGGATACAGCTACAGTCTGACTGAGCGTTGTGTCCAAACAACAACAAGTAGCAAGAAACATAATGAAGCGACATTCAGTTTTGATGATTGGAAATCAGGTCCACAATTCATTCAAGGGCAGTCACACGGAAGGACACTACAGCTGCTTCGTCTTCAATAACTCAATGTTTGGTCATCGAAGGGAAATCACCCTTTCTTAAACCATTTTCAGACATAAACAGACCCAATTATTCAGACTTTGTCCGGATTTTGCCTTCCACAAATGGACAGAGCAGCAGGAGATTGTCTGGGTCAGACACGTTCACAACAACAGTTAAATGTCCGGAATATTGAGTTGAGAGGTGGAGGAGGGACATAACGTTTAAATCCCCCAGCGGAAAGCATACATTTTTGTTTAACATTGACATCGGTTCTTATCACCAAAAGCTCTTTGTTGTCTTCACATCGCGTTGCAAGTTGACCTCTTCGTCAGTGTCGTCTATGTTTACAGCACCTCTATTTTATGCTGAGATGGATGTATTATTTTTATTTTTTGTGTATGTCATCTGTTTGAAACTTTACTAACACGAAGAATTCTCCAGACATTATGCTGCTGTATTTTAACATGGGCTCAGTGGGACATTTTACACGAGGGCTGGCAGGTTATGCGCCAGAGAATGTCTGAAGAAACTGACTCGCACATTTGTGTTCTCACAAACAGCCCCTCTGCAATTTCAGGAAGTGTATGTCTGAAAGCAGCATACTTCTATCTCTTTAAAAAAAAATGATATGTTGGACATGCTACTTCCTTCAAGCATTTGGCTAGAAAACTGCGGGTAGTGCATGGGATGCTGGCTGTATTTGATTTCACAAATCGCACCTTGATATTCTTTTTAGAGTGACAGGGACTGCATTCCCCGACATGTTAATGCACACTATGAGAACACAATGTCAATTTTGAAACTCACAGAGAAGCTGTAGCTGCGAATCCGTTCAAAGTCCAGCGGCATGGCCACCCTCATCCTGATGTCGGCACGCCCCTGCACCGCTGTGGGGGAGATGGTGAAGTACTCTGAATTGTTTCCTGTCAGAAACACCTGGAACATGCTGTTCACCCCCTGCCGCAGGAAGGATAAGACACAGAGAAAAGTAGCTGTTGAGAGAGAACAAGTGCAGTGCGTGATATATATTCTGTGTCTAAAGTGCCAGTGATGAATATAGACGATAAAATGTATTCTACAAGATATTCATTGAATTTAACATTCTTTTAAGACAAAGCTCACAATTCATGAAAGAGGTAGAGAGACTGTGAAAATACACAGAAAGTCAGAGCCGACACGACACCAAAGCCCTGATTTGCACCAAAAGCTCCATTCACTCTTATCAGTTATGAGCAAGATGTTTGGTTTCTATCTCTGCATCTTTTTCGCAAGACTTCTCCCGTCCTTCAATATCTTTCTGCAGAGCCCCCAAACACTGTTCCCTTTCCCTTGTCTGTCTGTCATTCAGAATAAGTGTCAGAGGTCAGAGCTGTTTACAAAGTGGCACTTTAACTTTCCGAGTGCTATACACACATTCATTCCATTAAATCAGCAGGGTTCAGTACATGATGGATGGGCCCTTGGTTATTACAAATCCCATACTACTGATTCTGTGTGTAATAATTTGCTGGCAAAAGGCTGTTACTGGAAGTGTGGAAGCGAAACCTTATAGAGATGTGTCAGATATCACAACACATCTGCAGAGCGGCACTTTGCAGGGAAGGACAAAGAGAAAAGGCAGAAACAAAGCCATCAAAATTTGTGGTATGTGTTAAAATATGTGATGAAAATGTATATGACATGGTTAGACAGCAAAACAGATATAAGAATCAAATTATGGCCTCATCTCATATCTCCTCATCTGCATTCCTCTTTATCTCCACCTCGTAAACCCTATGCTGCACCTACAATATGTAAATCGCCATTTGAGTGCAACATGAAGGGAATCCCATGGACAGCCCACAGAGATATACACAGTATGGATGGTTCGCCAGTCGATGAAGAAAGGTTGAAACTATATGCTTTATCGTCATAGTGTGTTTTATAGGAGGAAAAGAGGAGCTGATGTGATCCCTGATGACAACCATGACTATCTACCTCAGTACAGATACAGACGTCTGGGTTTGGTGTAGTTTCCTACACTATTTGTTGCCAAAACAATCTTATAAAATGTGAGCATGTAGTCTTATCTAAAAACATAATGTTCTGTAGTACGTGTGACTGTATAGTCAAAAACAAGAGCATCTACAAACCTCTTCTTTCTTTCACTTCTCTTTCTCAGAGAAATCCTCAGCAGGAACGATGAGTAAATATAAACTAAGTGAGGGTCAAAATGACATTACAGCTCTGAAAAGCCTGTAGCTGTCTTTAGCTGAGAAAACTGCTCTAGATGCTTCCTGTGTCGATATATAAAGCTGTGGGGCAGCCAATCATGCAGCCACTATGGCAGAGAGAGGAAGACGGGTTCGGTGGTTGATTGGCATTATGCTGGTGGTTGAAATAGCCCCCTTGTTTTTGTTTTCATCTCTGGGAGAACCATTGTGGCTGATGACTCCTATTTAAAAGACCATCCAATATGCAGGGATGTCACCTCAAACTGCCCATAAACGTAATTGCCTGTCCATTTGCTCCTGCCTTTAGAAGCCCCCAATAAAAGCACCCTGTCAGATGCAACTGCCACAAAGTTTAGTGACAAGTTCCAGCAGCAAAAGTTTTTTAAGATGCTAGCGGAGCAGAAGGGAATATGAAGGCAGCGACAGACAGACAGAGAGAGAGAGTTAACTACCACTTGTGTCATCGTCTAAAAAATGAAACGTCTGCCTATAATCCCTCACACTTGGAAAAAGTGAGATTACAGCACAGGTGTAGTGGAGTGTGAATGAGTGTGTGTACTGGCACTGACATGCAGGTTTTAAAGGATCAAAACAGCAATACAAAACTGCAAGACAAAAAAAACGTCTCATGGATTTTACTCTTTAGAATAGATGTATTCTCTATATGGCAGCAGTTTTAAAATGCAAGACTGTGGGAGAACAGGCAAATTCTATTTCTATGCGCACACTTTGAGGACACTGTATTTGACATAGTCTGCTATTTTTTAGGTATTTTGCTTTGAACGAGCAGAAAGCTGTGGTTACTAATAGCACAGAAGGAGGGATTTCTTACACAGCATTTCAGTGAATCTAATTTTGTGATGAGCGCTCTAAGTTGGAGATGCTGGAATGTTAAGTGACTCGGTAACCTTCCAGACTGAGTGGTAGTGGTAAAATGCTGGGTGCTAACCTACAGAGAGACCTCTAATCACATGCCAGGTGTCTGAGTCGTCAGCCCACCTGCATGAGGCGACACGCTCGCAGCACTCCCCTGTCTGCCGGCAACAAGCCGTCCTCGGAATGAATAAACAGACTTGATGCTAAATGCTCCTGCTATCGCTCCTTCAAGTGCTTTCTTCCTCTTCTGTCTGCTCCTCTCCCAGTTTCTTCCTGCTCCACCAATTATTCTGACTTTTGGTTTTGCTTCGATGCAAGCTTCTTTCGGTTCCTCTCCCATTTTCTCCTCATGCCTGACTCTCTTTACTCTCCACCTTTTTCTCTATCCACTTGACTTGCAGTTATCTGTCAAATTCCACCCCGGCAGCTACTGTGCCTAAATCAATCAGAGTTGACTAGCTTTCGTCTTATCTGCACCCTTGGTGATTGATTTTCCTCGTTAGGTATAATTTGATGCTCTATCCCATCTCTTCCACAGCAAATTAAATTGTAGTCGAGTCCAATGTGCTGGTGGGAGCAGGCATGTGCGCATAGGAGAGAAGGAGAGAGAGAGAAAGTGAGAGACAGGATGGCAGAGTGAAAAAGTGTTTGAGTTGTGTGTGTGTGTGACAGTGTGTCACCACATTAGGTTGATAGATCCAGCTAATGGGAAGTGACATACTGTTGTACACGGTTACTGACGGTCCTCTCACACACACACATGAACACACACAGCTGCCATACAAGCAGTTTCACTGTGTAACTAAGGTTCTTTTTAGCTGCTGCATTTATAAACAAGATGAACGTGAACCTACAGATAAAAACACAAACGACTAACATGAAGCAGTCTGAGCTGACATTGTTCAAAGATCAGATCAAGAGTGAAAAGTGTCTTGTGTCACACCCAGCTGTTTGCCTCTGTACATCCTTCGTCACAAACATCCCATTGCTGATTCATGCAAAAGTACCTTAGTTTGTACAGAGGGTGATCAAATTCGATATTAATCTGATTGACTAAAATAACAGCTGCATACTGCCTCATACTGTATTTCACCACCAACTAGATGAAAATATTGAAGATTGTTCAAAGCTGTTACTTTCATCTTAAATGATTGATAGAATATAAATTGAGTTAAACATGAGAATATGACTCCTGCTACATAATCCGATCAGCTTTAGAGAAGATGTATCACTGCTGGAGTTGTGGGAATTTCAAAGACATCAAGTCAAAGAGTACAGTCTTCCCTCAAATTGTCTTTGTCTGACAATGGACACAGGTGGAGAGCACCTTAATCAGAAAACACAGGAGTTTAATTTACATTACTTAAAGAAACAAGTTATTTAATAAAATAATGATGTTATTAATGTCAATTAGCAACATAGTGGTGGGCACTGGATAAAAATGAGAAGCTACAGGTTGAATATTTTGTAAGCTCAGTGAATCTTTATGTTCTCATAACCTCTGCATTTTCTATTCACAACCAAATTTAATTAATTTCACTTGTATATGCAATGAAATGGTTCTCTTACAGAGGAGCAAAGCTGCAACACTAGCAGGCTGAAGTAGACAAACCAGAGTATGCTAAAAAAAGATCAGATGTTGTTTTATTGATCAGAAGATACAGCATAATTTAATTGAAGCCTTATCTGAATAAGAGCATTATTCTATCGAGAAATGTAGTGACTGTTTTTGACTGTGACTTTCATCATGTGAGCGACTCACCTCATCCTTATCTTCGGCCTGGATGAAGAGGGGCAGGGCAAAGCCGACCTGGGCCAACTCAGTGATGAGGACTCGATACTCGGAGCTGTTGAACTTTGGGGCATTGTCATTCTTGTCAATTAGCAGAATGGTGAAGGTGGTCATCACTGTTGCATCTGATGGACTGCGATCATCTTTCAACTCTGTGGCCTTATATTGAGCAGGACAGGGAACAAAATCATAGAGAGAGAGAGAGAGAGAGAAAGAGAGAGACATGAGATGCATTTGATTGCACTGAAAATGTCATTTTGGATGGAGGTGGTCACCAAGCAATCTCAGCCAGGTATTTACAGCTGTTCATTTATTGGATCAATAGGTGGAAAGACGGACTCAAAGCAATCATAGAAATAGGCTCAAAGTGACGCCAAAAAGGGGGCCAGAAAATGTACATCCACACATGCACACTCACACGCACACGCACACACACACACACACACATTGAGATTTTAGAGGACACAATCGCACACACGCATTCTGTTTCTGGTTGCCAGAGCATCATAGATGTGAGGGGTATAAAATGAAAAAATTAAGACAGAGGTAGGACTGAGCAGGTGTGGTCCCTTTTATTGTTAGAGTGGTGCCACAAGCCATCAGAGAAGAGGCAGCTACAACATGCCTCTCCCTGGGTAATCAAGGTAGTTTAGCCTTTCCCATCCCAATGCCACTGAATCATTTGACCGCGACCTCCATATGCTCAGCACTATCTAAGCTGCCTGAAGTTGAGAAATTAGTTGTATTACTATGGCACACCGCAATCAATAGCAGCACCACCTAAGAAAGCACAAGTAGAGAGAGGCAGAGAAAACGTAGAGGGAAAAAAAAATCCATATCTTATAAATACATTTTTGGGCGATTTTTTCATTTTCCGCACTTTCACTTATTCTACCTTTTTTCTATGTAATTATTGATTTCAATTAAGAAGATAGAGTGAGGCTGGGATATGTTAGGCAGACTCTTTTGTATTAAACCTCAGAGCCAGCTGTATATCAGCGTTCTTTCATAAAAATGTCATGCAAGCTGCTTTTTATTAGCAATAATAGCAGCTGAATGAGGAAACACATGAGTGCTAGTGAGGCCATTAGCTGCTATTTAGCAGCCATTTGTTTTCCAGTGCAGGTGCAGAAGATTTGACTTGACAAGCCATCAAAACATCCACCTAACATTACAGTTACACAGCAAAAGGTGCTCATTTGATTGCAGATCCTTCCACTTTCATTGGCCCTTAGAAAACCATTTCATGCACCCTCTCACACCCAGTGGGAGCCACTCGGTGTACGACACTGAAAGAGAAGAAATGACGGCAAAAGAGAAAGTGGCAGAGTGGACAAGGTGGGAAGATCCGTGGGTGGGGAGAGATTGAGGGTGAGAGGCCAGGACTGACATGCTAAAAAGCCAAGTGAGATAGACTTTAGGCTCAGTGGAGGGACAGAGGGATTTGGAGACTGCACCTGCTCCAGACAGACAAAAAGAAGGAACCAAAGGGAAGAACAAAGGAGCCCTAAGCAATGAAGAGCACTGTAAATTCTATTCCTTTATCTTGTCCTCCTCCGCTCCCCTCTGTCCTCCCCGGCTGCTGACAGTTAACAGAACACAAGTCTCTAAAGGGGACATTATCATAGAAACAGAAACATGAATGCCTTCACCGAGAAACCCAGTTAACATATCTGTGTGTAGGCATATTGACACAACATCTATAGACATATACTGTACAGTGCAACAGGATCTTGTATTAATCAGTGTTGTAATGACCTTGAAGTATTTCCTAATTGGAACAGTATGTATCCACAAAGACAGTTATGTGATATGTATAGTACAAGCAAGGGCGAAGTATTGCATATAGCAGGTCCTTTGAGGCAGACAGTGCATTGATTTAATGCACTATCATATCAAAGCTCTCTCTTGATCTACTGGCAAAACAGATTTTCGATCGCTTGTCTGGGTTGTGACAGTCCCTCCACACCACCCACCCCCCCCTCGACCGCCTCCCATTCAGAGGCTCACCTTGACAGTGAGAGTGAATCCTGCTGAGTAGAGTGGGTTTTCTCTGTCCAGCTGGCCGTTCACTGTCAGCGAGCCGCTGATGTAGTCCAGAGCAAAAACGCTGTTGGTGTTCCCTGAATGGATAGATGGAGAGAGAGAGAGAAAGACAGAGATAAGAAAGTCAGAGGGACAAAAGAAACTGGCGTGGTGGATAATTCAGCACAACCTCTGGGATGCAGCGAGGCGCTGGTGGAGAGGAAGGCAGTGGATGAGCAATGTGCATGTCTCTATCCCATGCAATATGGATTGGGCTTTTGCTGTGCTTTCTTTTGTCTCTCTACCTGCCTTAGGCTGACCCACTACCTCCAACCTGTCCACACTCACCTTCCACTGCTTCAACTTCTTCATCAGCTACCATTTCCCACTCAACTTATTTAGTGGATGTTAGGGTCAGAGTCAACGTCAATTCCAGTTCTATTTGACAAATAGTGCATGCGAATGTTCCAAAAAAGGCAATGAAGGAGACATTAACTCATGTCATTTGGGTCCTAACATTCTCTGGACTTTGCGTTTTGACACATGAACAACACAGACTTCCTTCTCAGACGTGTTCACAACACCACAAATCTCAGGAGCATTCAGGTGAGGGCTGGTGCAGCAGGCAGAGGCAGAGGCAGAATGTAATGTTTAATTCTCCTCTGTAGTTCACATGTTGTTGTTCACAGCGCATCAACAAAAGCATCAGCTCTTATCAGTCTGTGTCTTACATGTACGGCATCGCATTTGCCTGAGATATTTGAACAATTTTTGTTTTTCATATGTCAAGTGTTGTGAAGGGTCATCTAAACACCACCCGCTCATGGTGATTCCTCCAGTGGATCTCCTGTTGCATTCTCTCCAAGTGGACTGGCTGAAGAAACTCTGAACAAAGTCTGGACTTTCTTTAAATTATGAAACAGAGTAGATACAAAAGAAGTGCATTTTCCATTGCAATACCTGAGTAATAGTAAGTAGATAAAAGCCAGAGGTATTTTAGGGAGATGGATATATGTCATGTATCTATCTATCTAGCTCCTCTCCTGTGGAGTCATCTTGCAATTTCAGTTCAAAAAGCAGACACCCTCTCTACTTTTTAGAGTTAGCCTAAAACCTTCTTTTTTGATAAAGCTTTTATTTGTGCAGGCTCAGCTCATCGAGGGCCACATGGAGCTTGTCTGTCAAGAGTCTAGATTTCTTACATCTACTACCATTATTGGCAATATGGTTATCATTAAACTGTTATTACTGATTCCTTCATCTCTGTCAGACTTTTTCTTTTGTATAAATAATTAACATGATACGACTCCTTCTCTCATGAATGTTGTAAATATTTTTATTTTGTTGATGTGCTCTGTTACACTTGACATCTGTTGCACTTCTACGTCCTGGGAGAGGGAATCCTCACTAGTGACTCTCTCTGAGGTTTTTTAATTTCTACCCTGTTTAGGGTTTTTTGTAGTTTTTCTTTTGTGAATATGGACGATATAAATCAAATTTGATTGACTGACTGAGAATTATCAATTAATTAAATAAAGTTCATCAAACTAAATTCTGAAATTGCAGCCATGTGTTTAAAACTCAAGACAATGCGAGTGCATACAAGACTGACTGCTGTGTTAGCAGACTGCACATTTCTCCTGCACTACATCACTTCACATGGGCTGATGGATTGCATTAACTTTGCTATAGTCGGTGCACTTCTTCAAAGACAAGCATTTCAAATTATAAACGCTGCACTGTTCTCATTAACAAGTTTAAATGTGCCTGATGTTCTCTATTCACTTCAATTATACAGGTTAAAATATTAGACTGAGACCCACTTGAGTCCTAAACTCATATACATTTCTAATTCCCCCACTTCCTTTTCAAATTACTGTCCTACTTGTTAACTTTCTCACCTCTCCTCCACTCTTTTTTGACACGCTCTCTCTCTCTCACTTTCTTTTAGGCATCATGTGGCTGTTGCCTGCTAATTACACCCAGCAGATGGAGACAACTAACGAAAAACACACCCAACTGCCATTTTCATTCCTATTCCTGGTCTGTGCCACGTGTTGCATGAGACCTGAAGCGGGTAGTGTGCAATCTTCAGACAGTATAGCAGTTCATGCCTTTTAACACTATCAAAGCAATCTGCTCAGTGAAAGGCAAACACTGAAGCAGACAGGACTGAATGAGAAGGCTCCTGATATTCAAGTCCATCTGAAAGCTCTGCTCTGACCAGCTAAGAGCATTGCAACTGGTGTATGTTAAACAGGATAATGCCAGGATGAAAAAGAGCAAACATGCCCATTGAAGACATTCCATGTCTAGATAAAAAATAGATACAGGTAAAAATATACACACAATACACCACAAGCATCTAGTTGAGGCTGAAAACAGAGGTTGGATTTTTTTACAGTGGGAGTGTTGTGTTTCTAAGATAAAGTAGGACCCATACTATAGACATGCCAGGAAATGGAAGTCTTGTATATATATTATTATTATAATAAAAAAACACATGCTGTTGTCCACACTTCAATAAGTGCAACTATTAGGAAAACAGCCCTGTTGGTAGAGCCAATACCTCTGTTTGTCTGCAAAATATTTAATTGACTAAAATTTAATTTTGTGGCACTGGTGGATTTTTAAAATTAATTTTACCACTGAAGCTTTGTTTGCCAACTATTGTCTATTGCTGCCTATCAAGCATTTAGTCAAATCACAACAATAAATAACATAACATAAATCTGGCTTTAAAATGAACCCTAGGCTTTGGTTTAATTTTTCATTCTCTAATCATCTAGAGATTAATAAAAATGCACAGAGTAGAAACATCAGTTACAGGTTGAGGTGTTTAATTTATTGAATTTATTATCTGACAAAGCTGTTTGAATTGAAAGGCTCTTAATTCAATGCTAAGCTAAATTATTTTTGAGGACTACATCCACTAACGCCCTATTATCAACTAATCTGCTTTTTGTTTCTGACCAATATAATGATTTTGCGTCTCTCTCTGAGATTGACAAAAACAACCACTGTTTTTCAATTTGTAAATGCACCTTTTGAAATATGCAGGTCAAATGCTATTCCTCACATTACTTGGCTTCCTCTACTGTGATTATGGTCTTAATCAGTGATATGGATTTTTAACTGTGTCTGCACAAACAATTTATTTTTACGACATGGGATAATAAATAGTTAAGTATCACCCTAAATATGTTGAACGTTTTTTTCCTGCATCTAGTCACTTAGTGCATGTAGAGACATGTTTAAAATGTCAAACCTATTTGCTTTTTTCAAAGTGGGCCAATTAAGAATCGCTCTCTTTCTGTGAGTCTATAGCTGAGGTCTTGACTCCAGAGAAACATGGTCAGATGACAGGTTTTCAGTCCACAGTAGCTAGGGTCAGCAGATTAACCCTCGCTCGTGTTCCCCATTCCTGACTTGCTGCTCTGTTATTGCCCGGTACCACAGCCTAGAATATAGAGGAGGCAACTACAGAACAAAGAGCACAGAGGGGGGAAGAGGAGAGGAGGCAGGCCAGCAGAGAGAGTCGAGACCTTGGGTAATTAGCCTGGATTGAGTCCAAAAGGTGGAAAGAGGGGATGGAGAAAACGAACTGCTACTGCTGATTAGGTCCATTACATTATCTTTTCAATTGAGCAAATTAATAAATTAATTCATTATGGTACTGATTAGTGCAGCAGAACATACAAGGGATTTTCTACATCTCTTCAGAATCAGAATCCTTTATTGTCAGTGTTTAACATTGTCACCAACATTCAACATTGAAAATGCTTTTTGCAGCTCTTCTTGTTACAGCAGCGATTAACCGATTTTAGAAATCAGACAGAATCAAGAAGTAAAAAAAGTTAAAAAAATTCAAATGTACAGTTTTCTTTGTATTTTTTTTTTCCTTTATAAAAACACACCTAAGAGATAAACATATTAAAGTGTGACAGTGTTATGACAGTGCAGTAACAGTATAATAATGACAGTGCAGATTGTACAGTAGGACAGTCAGTCTGACTGTCCACCTGAGTAGTAGTGCAAAAAAGTTCTAGTCCTATGTTCTAGAATGGGACAGTGTTTAGGTTAAAAAAGGGCATAGCGGTAATGATGTCTGATCTACTGAGCGAGCCACATGGCTTTCATAGTACTGCCGTACAACCCAGCAGCCAGTCAGATTAACCATTAGCCTCAGAGTACCCTCAAGTTGGGCCTGTATCGTTGATTTCAAGGCCAAAAAACTTGATGATACTAAAGTGCTACGGAAGTTAAACATCCACTGGTGGCCGTTAACACATGCTAACTATTGTAATAGCAGCTGTTAACTTAAATTGTAGGAGACCTTCAAATGTTCAAGGAATATTCACTATCTTGTCCTATATTGTATAATTACTTATAATGTCAACATTGTAAAACCTAAAATCTAAAACAATACAGACATTCAATATGATGACCCTATGTAATCACTGCAATGACCTTCATGTAACTGCTAGGGTCAAGTTGTTTATTAGGTATCATCTGTGTCATCGTAAGATTGAACATGGGAGAAAAAAGGCATTTTGTGTCATGCACCAGTGGAAATAAGCTGACACAGCGTTCATTCCAACATCCCTCTTTCCTCCTGATTGGAGGGCCAGGCATGAGGTTGTTGTTGATAATGATTGGTGGTTGTGGGGGGTAATGTGCATCAGGGAATCTGACCCACTCCATGTGGGCATCATGCCTCTAAATTGGTTTGTCAGCTTCAGTGGCCTGACTAGAATGCCAAACTATCCAACAGCCGCTCCTTACCCAGACGACTTGGTGCTCACCTGGCCAAGCAACTGACGTGTATTGACTGACACACACACACACACACACACACACATACACACACACACACACACACACACACACACACACACAGTCTCTCAACATACAGTACATGTGCAACAGTAGATAGTAGATTGTTGGTTTAATGCATCCGTTGAAGAGGCTTTTCACTGACCGGCCTACCTACATTAGCTGTGTGTCTTGTTTTACCAGAAAAACTGACCGAAATTACAGAGTGACTCACAGGTCCCACTGAGAGAAGAAATATAATAATATTCTAATTGCTCATAGA